AGCTCAACAAGTCGATCAACCCCGACGAGGCTGTCGCCTACGGTGCCGCCGTCCAGGCCGCCGTGCTCACCAACCAGACCAGCGACAAGACCGCCGACCTGCTTCTGCTCGACGTTGCTCCCCTTTCGCTCGGTGTTGCCATGCAGGGTGACGTGTTCGGTGTCGTCGTGCCCCGTAACACCCCCATCCCGTGCAACAAGACCCGTGTCTTCACCACCGTCGAGGACAACCAGACCCAGGTCACCTTCCCCGTTTACGAGGGTGAGCGCACCCAGTGCAAGGACAACCGTCTGCTCGGCGAGTTCGAGCTGACCGGCATCCCGCCCCAGCCCCGTGGCCAGGCCGAGCTGCTGACCACCTTCGAGATCGACGCCAACGGTCTGCTCAAGGTTTCCGCCCAGGAGAAGATCACCGGCCGCAAGGCCAACATCACCATCACCAACTCGGTCGGCCGCCTGAGCTCCAACGAGATCGAGCAGATGATCAAGGACGCCGAGACCTTCTCCAAGGCCGACAAGGACTTCACCGCCAAGCACGATGCCAAGAACGACCTCGAGGCGTACGTCCACTCGGTCGAGGAGACCATCTCGAGCCCCGCTGCCAACCTCAAGCGCCCTGCCAAGATCCAGATCGAGCAGGAGCTTACCAAGGCCCTCGAGCTGCTCGAGGTGCAGGACGCTTCGGCCGACGAGTACCGCCGCGCCTCGCTCCGCCTCAAGCGCTCCATGCAGAAGGCCTTCGGTGGTCGTTAAGCGCTGCGCTTGTCGCGTTTGAGACCACGGCTGCGTGAGAGAGGCGGATGGCCGAGCGGAGTTGGAGGTTGGCTCTTGATCTGCAACCCTTGCTTTGTCTGGTTGGATCGTGATCTGCTCTCTGATCATCGGTTCGGCTCGTTCTCTCTGACGTCAAGCTCTCCCCCGCTGCTTCTGCTGCGCTTGGGCTGACTCCACTCGTGCTCTTAACGAGAGGATGGCTCGAGCGTGTGTGGAGTGTGCGGGGCAAAAGGAACTCGAGGATCGCTCAGGCCGAGCTCGTCTTGTTGCGTCTGTCTCGGCTGGGGTTGATGCAGCCCTGGACGAGACAAGGGCACGAGCCTGAGGATCTGTGCCCCCAAAGATTCCCCTTCCTCCCCCATTCGACTAATGTACGCATATTCCACTTTTTCCCTGCATCTTCTCGTTCCGCTTACTGCTTTTGGCTGTGCTGCATCTGGTGTGTGAGCAGAGTATGTGGTTTGGGGACATCGGTGGCATTGGAGGTATTGTTGGCTTGATGCGGAAGGAGGGGCTACGGATTTGGACCGGATTCGCAGCGACGACGACGAAGACGCCATGTCTCGGTGCGCTTAGGTGCGAAGTGGTGTAGCGAGCTTCCCGGTGCGGGAGAGGGTGTGCAAGCGATGGCGATGCAGGTCCGCATCAGGCTGATGGCAGCCAGGTGGGCCAAGGCATCGTGGACACCGATCGGACCGGATAGGATAGAGAACGTGTGAGGCTGTCGAGGTCTCGCTTACACCGCAAGCCAGTTTCGAAGGCCAGTCAGCTGATATTGACCGAAGCGGAGGTGATGGAGATCCCACGCTAGCTTTCCAGTGGGGTCTCATTTTTGGAGGCTGGAAAATTCAAGCCGGAATAAGATGGACACAAAAAGACCTCTTAATTCCTCGGAACTTTGGCCGCCATCGTGGAGCTTCAGAATCGTTCGATTCGATGCTGGGTCAGGAAGATCGTTGCGCAACAAGCTCGGATGCTTCCGTCGAACACGACGTTCAAACTCAGGTAAGCCAAGCAAACAACGGATTCGGAAGAAGGACTGGTCGGCATTCCGAAATCAAAAGTCGGCGACTGCGGATCACATCGAGAGAAGCGTCGAAAGAAGGCCGACGACAGATGGAGCCACAATCACGGTCCCGATGTGAAGCGTAGAGCGAATCAGATCGAACGGAGGCTGGCCATGCCATACATGATGAGAGTGTGTGGATCGGGTCGAGATGCGGCTGAGAGGGTTGGTGATGGTGGGCGGCAGTGGCTGCAATCCACATTCCAATGCTTGGATTCAGAAACAAGAGAGACACGGGCTGCCGTGGAAAAAAAAA